GGGATGTGTGGGTCCGTTCTATCCTTCCTCTAACATTCACTGGGAATCCACTGTGCGGAGGAAATGCATGAGTGAGACACAGAGCAAGCAGCCTAGCAGGGGAAACGGGTGTGTAGCAGATAAACATAGCACCCTCGGTGCAGACAGAAGTCTTTAAAAGGTACCTATGGGAACATGAGGTCCACACGGACAGGGTGGGTAGCTGGGAAAGAATCTGGGGAGAAATGCCACTACTTTAGCTGTGTGACCTTGGGCAGAATACTTAAACTCTCTGTGCTGCAATTTTCCCATTTTAAAATCAGGATAATAAAAATACCTACCTCACAGGGCCACGTAATCTTTTAAAGATTAAAAGAGCTTATACATGTGAAGCCCTTACCCCAGTACCTGGAACACAGCAGACACTGCGTGAGTTAGCGGCTGTTATTAGCGGTGGAGGAGGGGGGCATTAGGTAGGGGAGGAAGGTGATCTGGGGCAGTGGCCCCCTCAGGATTTCTAGAGAGGTGGGAACTGCTAGGGGTAGTAATGCCATTGGACGGGCACCAGAGGAGTTTTTCTTAAAGCCACCGTTTTCATAGTTGGTGCCCTTTTGATCTGTAATACGCGCAGTTTTCTAGCCTGCTTTTTTTCCACGGGAGAAAATGCCAACAGTCCCTGTCAAAGAATATGCAGATTGAGGGGTGGCTACAGAATAGCACTGCTCTTGGTTCCCAGAAGGAGGTTCTGGTTCCCAGGCCTTGGCACTGGGCCCCTGGCCGGCTCAGCCCTTTCCCTCTGCAGCCCCAAATGGCCAGCCACAGGGCAGGGTGAGGGGCGGAGAGCGAGGGCCCCCTGGCAGTGCTCTCTGTTTCTTACCAGCTCAGTAGCTCTTGCTCAGTGCCTCTTTGTCTGCTCAACGTCACCGCCCCCTCCCCACCGCTGCCACCGCAGGCCTGGGGGTGCCTGCCACCCAAACCCAAACCCCACTGCCAAGGAAGTCAACAGCTCTTTTCTTCTTTGCACTTGGCCTGGGTGCGCCCTTCCTTCAGGAAGGAGGAGGCGAGGTAGGGGCAGCAGGGGGGTAAAAGAATGAATTGGAGGGGAGTAGGGACCCTGCTCCACGCCCCCACCCGTGGTCAGGGAAAGGGGCTCTGTTTCTGGACGCCCCACCTCCTCATTTCCCACCACTGCCATCATCTCGGGAATGTGTTCCCAGTTTATGACCCCGCCCATGTTTGCTATCTCTGCCCACACGGTTTGTATCTGCGGCAAACACAGGCCTCGCCACCCTGCCAGATGGAAACGCCAAGGCTGGGGAATGTGTCTATCTCAGCTGACTAAGGATCTCCCAGAGGGCAGGAGAGCCTGTGAGAGTGGCTCCCTCTGTGTTCAAAACACAGTTCATAAAAAACAGAAAACGCATAATCTCACATTACGCAAAGTTTGAAACTAGAGCCTGAAGAAGTTCGCCCCCAACCCCTCCTTCCTAACACAAGGTCTGTTTTTATTTTGTTGAATTTCCACAGCCTGGTGAAGTAGACGCTCAAACACCATTCAGAGGTAGACTGGATGAGTAACAGGTAACACAGAGGACTTACTAGGTGCTAGGAATTGCTCTAAGTGCTTCACATTTAATCTTTAATGAGGTGGGCGCAATCATGATCGTCCCCATCTCCACTCAGAAACGTAGTAACTAAAAAAAAAAAGAAGAAGAAGAAGAAAAAAGAAACGTGCTAACTCAAACACAGGGAGGTTCAGTGACTTACCTAAGGTCACACAGCTGCTGAGGGCAGCTGGTGCCAGGATTTTTCTTATCATCACTGTCACTGCATATGCAGGCTTATAAAAGCTTTTATTACGGACAGTTTCAAACATAAAAAGGTAGAAAAAAATAACATAAGGAATCTCATGTCCCCATCTCTCAGTGCCAGTAATTACCACCTCACGGCCCACTTTATTCCCTGAAGTCCCTAAGCCCAGGTTATTTTGAAGCAAATCCAGTCAGCACATTATTTCCATCACGTATATTTTAAAATATATCTCCAAAAGAAAAGGAAGACTTTTTATTTAAAAAAATCGCCGCATGGGGTGCCTGGGTGGCTCAGTGGGTTAAGCCACTGCCTTCGGCTCAGGTCATGATCTCAGGGTCCTGGGAACGAGCCCCGCATCAGGCTCTCTGCTCAGCAGGGAGCCTGCTTCCTCCTCTCTCTCTGCCTGCCTCTCTGCCTGCTTGTGATCTCTCTCTGTCAAATAAATAAATAAAACCTTTTAAAAAAAAATCACCGCAAGACCATATCATACCTTAAAAATTATTATTCCTTAATATCATCGATTTGAATAGTCAGCATTCAGATTTCCCCGATAACGTAATACTTTTTTTTTTTTTAAGTTAGTTTGCTTGAATCAGAATCCAAATATGGCCTTTGGTAGATACGTTGCTTAATTTGTTTTAATCTGTAAGTCTTTTCCTCTCCTTTTCCCCTTCTAACTTATTAAGGAATTGGATGTTTGTTCTAGTTTCCCTTTTCCTAGATTTTGCTGACTGTATCCCCAAGGAATACTCATGCTATAATTTTCCCCCTAATCTTTTCATATAACCTAGCAAACATTTTCCCAAACTGCTGTGCCATAACCATGCTATGTCATCCACTGGATATACTATCATATTTCCCTTTTTTTAAAAAAGGATTTTATTGATTTATTTATTTGACAGACAGAGAAAGGGAGAGAGACAGCACAAGCAGGGGGAGCAGCAAAGGGAAAAGGAGAAGCAGGCTCCCCACTGAACAAGGAGCCCTATGCAGGGCTTGATCCCAGGACCCTGGGATCATGACCTGATCCAAAGGCAGAGGATTAACCAACTGAGCCACCCAGGTGCCCCTCCGTAATATTTTTCTCAGGCATTTAGGTTGCTTTCTGTTTTCCACTATTATAAAAAAACAACAATGCAGGAATGAACGTTTTCTTACAGAGTACATAGGGTGTATCTCCTTAGAATATGCTACGAGAAATGTAGTCATGGCTCTAAAGCCGGAGTGATTTCTCAGCCTCTTGGCACATATGACCAATTGTTTGTCCACAGGGTTGTGCATTCCCCAGCACAACATAAGAGTGCTGTCACTCATTCTGAACAGTACTTAGGCCTATTCATGGCTGAAGGATGTTTGGTAAAGACAGGGTAATTATGAGGGCAGAGAGCTAGAGAAGGAGTAAGATGATGACAGGGACTCAGGCTAAATTAAGCCGAAAGTGATCTACAGTTTACCACAGACCTAGAGTGAGTCAGAACTCTGTTCATTCCCATTGTGGAAAAAAAACAACAACTCGATAACAGGAGTTATTAATAGGGCATGGCATGTCGGGTAATCTTTCCGTTAGACTATGCATTAGTCAGGCCCTTATTCGAGACGTGGATCCAGAGGCAAAGATCCAGAGAGCTCAATCAACTTGAGGGCCGATAGAAGAATTCCAGAGAAGAGTCAAAGGAATTAAGCAGGCTCAGTTAGTAAAAATAAGATCTTTTTTGCCTCAATGCTGGGAGGTTTCTGTAGAAAGACCAATACTCAGTTGTTTGCTTATGGCTTTAGAAGGCTGACTACGAAAAGGGGCTCCCATGAAGCAGGAGAAACCTTCATATAAGGTAGAAGTTTTTCAGACTCTGGGGTGGTTATTTAAGTCTTGGGATGAGCGCTCTTCAGCCACTGGCCCTGGAAATATTTGAGAAGCTTCCTGTTCTTCTGCTCTGAGTGGTTCAGGTTTCCACTTGCTTCCTACTAGGGGCCTCTGGGAGCCCACTCCAGGTTTGTGATGACTGTTTCCTGGCTGTTGCCTGGAGAAGGGCAGGTGAGGTCTCAGGGAAGTGCTCCCCAGTTTTCCTGGGCCAGCATTCTCCCTTCTGGCCCCTCTCATTCATTCAGGGTGTGTTTACGGCCTGTCAGTTGGCATGTCATGATGTCATCTGACCCTTCCCTTCGAGCCCTGCCATTCAGAGTGGACTTAGAAGCAGGTGGGGGCAGTGTAAATGACTCAAACAAGGCCTTTTTGGTGACATGGAGAGTGGGACTGACCCAGGAGACCATTTAGTTCCACCTCCTACAGTATAGCTTCCTACAATGCAACAGGTGCTTTACCTACATTCTTTTGAATTTGAGCAACCTTGGAGGTGGGGCTTCACAGGGGTAGCATTGGAGGTCAAGATAAGTTATTTGTAGGGGTCATGCTGCTGGTGAAAGAGAGCCTATGTTAGGCTAGCCTGGCAATAAAATCTGTGCCCTTGCCTTTGGGGCATGTGGCCAAGAAAATTGTGGCCCAGAGAGATGGAGCCTTCCACCCAAAGCCACACAAGCTGACCAGAGACTAGAACTCGGGCTCCTAACTATTTATCATGGAGTCTTTGCAAGACATGTGGCCTCTTCTGATGCCTAATGTGGGGAGGCCGAGGATGTGGGCTGGCGGGCTGGCTGGCTCAAGTTAACTGAAAGGCGGCCAGGCTCGGGACAAATGCTGTTCATAGGCTGCATTCTCGGCCCTCCAAGCTCTGCTCCTAACCAATGTCATGAGAAGCCAGCTTCTATGAGGGCCTGGAAGGGCAATGGATCCGACTAGTCTGTTTCTCGTGAAGCCAATACATGGCCAGGGCAGAGCCAGCAAGCGAGGCATAGTGAAAAAACTCTGACATGGGGTCAGAATCTCTGGGACCCAGCAAGAACATATACCAAGTCACTTAAAACTCTGAATTTCCTGATCTCAAAACCAGGGAAGAGTAAACCGCGCTTAAAGCGCGCGATTGCAAAAGCAGGAATTGCTACCCGCCAAAGGAATACCATCTAATACTAGTTTCGCGTGCTATTGAAACGTCTGGCCCGTAGCCCCAGTAAGGCCAAGACTGCAGCGAGGTAGGGGGAGACTACAACTCCCAGGAGGCACCGGGCGGACCCGTATGCGGGCAAAGGGAGAAACTACAACTCCCAGGAGGCACCCGGCGGGCCGGCTCTGGGCGGTGACGTTGCGGGGGCCGGCGCGGGGCGCTGATTCGGCCGGAGCTGCCAGCGGGGTGGCTGCTGCCGCGGGTTGTTACAGCTGCTGGAGCAGCACCGGCCCCGGTCCCGGCCCCGGGCACCCCTCCTGGGCCCTAGACGGCCGGCCCTGTACGGTGAGTCCGGGCGAGCGGCTTCGGGGTGGCCGAACCGGGAACCTCCTCTTGGGGCTAGAGGCGGGGCGGTAAAGAAGGCGGGGGCTGCTGGGGAAGCGCCCGGGCTAGAGGGGACCCGGGCATGGTGAGCGGAGGTGGGAGGGGGTGCATCAGCCGAGGGGCTGCATCAGCCGAAGGGATGCCCAGAAGGGAGAGTCGGTGCGGAATACCGAGTCTGGGGTATCGGGAGGAGTGCTTCGGCTGGGGGAGGGGGCGGGGAGAGGCTGGGCTTCGGGGATAAAGGTTTGGCTGCCTCCGGGGCTGGGTGAACGCGTGGAGGTGGGGGTGGGGCTACGGGCCGGGCCGGGCCGGGCTCCGAGTGCGAGGTCCCAGGCAGGGGAGCGGAGCGGGAGGCCCCTCTTTGGCTTGAGGTACCGCTCCGAAATCCCAACAATAGCATAGACTCCACCTCCTCGTTTCACCCCCTTCCTAGCTAGTGGGGGTTCGCCCCGGTACTCGCCAGTCTTTCCATTCCCAGGGCCCTCGCCATTCTGGGAGGCTGGGCCAGAGCTGAGAGGTGTGCGACTGTGGCCCTGCGGGTTGGGCGGTGGGCAGACTGAGAATGGCATTGTGGAGTGCTGCCAGTGTCTCCCCGTTGGACTTGGATGTTTTGTGCTCCTCATCTAGAAGGAGAAAGGCTTGCTGCTTAAAGGGCTGCCTTTACTTGGGGGAAAGAATGGGAAGCGCTCACCTGGCAGCTGTCCTGGGGAGCACTGTGGCCCGGGCTTAGGTGCCAGACTGACAGGCTGGGCCGGGATATTTGTGTGCGGAGCCGGGCGGGGGCGGGGTGGGGGGAAGGAGTAGAAAAGAGCTACCAGCAAGAAAGTAGTTAACAGAACAGAGTTGCTGCAGGCTTTGGTTCGAGACAGGTTATGAAACCACATCAGGCCCTGCCACGGCAGCCACCTGCCAGCTAGGGCAACAGAACTTTTCGGCCTCAGCTGCTGTAGACTTACTCTGCCTCTGCCAGGTTCTTCTCCCTATTTCTTCCCTGTGGGTGAGGGGCAATTTTTTGTTTGTTTTTTATGAATGGAAGTGGTATGTACCCTTAGTCACACAAACATCTTAGGAGTGCTTTCTGGCTGCCAGTCGTGTCCTTAGTTTCTTGATTTCTTCTGTCTTTTGGGGGGGTCATCTGGGATTTCTGCTGCCGGAGAAGCTGGTGTTCGGTCTTCAGGAATACACTTCTGAGGTTACCAGTTAGGTCCTAAGTCTAGGCCCCTCCTAGACTCTTTGATCTTCACTGCATGCTCAGCAAGAAAGAAGTGTGGGGTGATCTGGGATTCAACAAAGCCATTGGTACTGCTGCACAAAATATGAGGGACAGCTACAGGTCTCTGCACTCCTGCACCTTTGTCTGTCTAGGTTAGGGAGAAGTGGAGAGGGACAGCAGTTTCTGATCAGACTTGGGGAACTCTATGTCTCTCCTTAGTCAAAGTGCTTCAGAGGCCTTATTTATTAGCCAGCTCCCCACTGCCCTAGGCTTTTGCATAGTAAGCGTCCCAGGAGCCGGGTCAGGGCAACTAAAGCTCCAAGGCCCTGTGAAGGTAAACAACCAAGCTAGTCCCGGTTTTCTAGTTCCTTGGGTTTCTCTTAGGCCCAATTATCCAGCCTAATGGGCTGAGCTAATGGACCCTGGGAGCATTACTTCTAGGATGCACCCTGCGCCATCTCGCGCATGTTTGCATGTTGGGAAGGTGTGTTGTGGGTCCCATTTCCCCTGAGGTCTCTTAGCTTGGAGCTCTCTGAGAAGAGGAAACTTGTTCTCATTATTCTGGAAGTAAGGAACTGATCCTTGAGAATCCTGGCTCCCACACAGGCTTGGCTGTGATCCTAGCCAGAGATAGATAGCAGCTGAATCTGAGGGGGGTTGTTGAAGCAGGGTGAGGGATATGGCCTTCTGGGTACTTTCTGGATACCCCCGTCCAGAACCCCTTTCTGCACCTCCAGGAAAGGTGGGGTTGTTACCATGGTGATGACCTAAGGTCTTTATCAGGCAGGACCCTCCCTCACCTAGGGAGGTGAGTCTTTTCCCCACCTCCTGCTGGTTCCTGGGCCCTTGGGGATCTGGGGACAGCTGAGCTCTAGACAAGGGGCTGCTCGTTCCCCTCCTTATGTGCATCCAGGAATGCAACTGGGTTGTATTGTTTTGTTTTGTTAAGATTTTATTTATTTATTTATTTGACAGAGATCACAAGTAGGCAGAGAGGCAGGCAGAGAATGAGGAGGAAGCAGGCTCCCTGCCGAGCAGAGAGCCTGATGCGGGGCTCCATCCCAGGACCCTGGGATCATGACACGAGCCGAAGGCAGAGGCTTTAACCCACTGAGCCACCCAGGCGCCCCTGGGTTGTATTGTTTCTGGAGCATCACGAGCAGCCCTCCTGGTTCCTTGTGCTGCAGGGCTTCTGCCACTGGAGCTGGGCAAGGGAAGGCAGATGCTGGGAAAAGAGGCCGAGGTGAGGCTGGGCTGGGCAGGGAGGAAGGGGGGCAGGAGGCAGGCTGCAGGTGTGGTGTTTGTGTCCTAGGGAGGGGCGTGTTGATATGGGTTTCGGGGACTTGAGAGCCGTAGATGTTGGCCACGTTCTCCATCCTCGCCCATGCTATGGTGGGAAAAGGGCCCTGGTGGTTTGGCAGCAAAGTGGGTGGCATCACAAGGGTTAGGCTGAGTGGCTGCCAGATGGATAAAACATCTTGCATGGGTTGTTTTGTGTCACCAAGAAAGAGGCCTCCAAGTCTGGGCAGAGGTTGTCCCTAGTCTGTTGTCTTCACTTTTCTTCCTTCTCTCCCTCTTTCCAGTCTGTCAGTTCTCCTGGGTCAGGGCTGGGAGAACCCCAGGATGGGAGAATGAGGGGAGAGGATAGAAGCAATGACCCCCAGAAACTGCACCTGCTGCTGCCTGTTCTCACGGGTTCTGCCCCCTTTTGTTCATTCTTATGGTGCGGAGCTCAGAGGTAGGAGATGCCCCATATCAGGCCCTCAGCAAGACTGTCCAGAGCACTTATGTTGCATGATTCTGAGGGGCCAGGCCTCTTCTCCTCTCCCCGAGACCTTGTGGGAAGAGGGCCCTCGTGGGAATGCTCTGGAAGATGAGATTGGGGAATAGGCAGTGGTTTCTTTGCCCTAGGCTGGATGCCTCTTGATGACCTGTCCACCCAGGCAGTCCCAGTGCCTGGAGGGGCACCGTCCAGGTCTGCCGACGTGTGGGGAGGCCTGGTGCTTAACCCAGCCGAGCAGCGGGAAATGAATGGAGTTAAGTCCACACGGCCCTTCTTGGGCCTCTTCGCTGGAGAGTCAAAGCAGCAGAACACCTGGAGTTCTTGGGGAGAGCAGAGCCTCCCTCCCTGCAGGATGTGGACGGTGTGAGGGGGCAGGGAAAGTGGTGTGACCTGTCTCACCTGTGCTGCTTGTTCGCAGAGCAGCGGCAGGAGAGGGGCGGCAGGATGAACGTGGGCACGGCGCACAGTGAGGTGAACCCCAACACGCGGGTGATGAACAGCCGCGGCATCTGGCTGTCCTACGTGCTGGCCATCGGGCTTCTGCATGTCGTGCTGCTCAGCATCCCCTTCGTCAGCGTCCCTGTGGTCTGGACCCTCACCAACCTCATCCATAACATGGTGAGGGCCTGCCTGCTGCCTGCCCAGGCTCTGGGGGCTGAGGAGAGGAAGGAGCACCTTCAGCCGTGGGCCAGATGTCAGGGTGATGTGCTGACAACATCTGTCCCTCGACCCCAGACCCAGCTCTCCTCTCAGTCTCCCCCCAACTTCTGGGTTCCAGCCGTGTGCACTCTGAGGACGAAAATCTGCGGATCTGTGCACATCCCCAGGACGGGGTGGCTTGTGGACCTGGAGGGAGGGCCACTGGGAACTGAACTAAGGGCTCCAGAGAGTCCCCAGGTCCCAGGTGCCCAGCCTGGCACAGAAATGCCCCTCTCCCAAGCCCAGATTTCCAGCCATCTTCCACTCTGGCCCCTCTGCTCCCACAGCCGCTGCTTGCTAGCTTGTACTCTGGCAACCAAGCAGCGGCCATCAGCTTGTCCCCGCCCCTCCGGCGCAGGGAAGCTGGCACTAGGCCAGAGGGGCATTTCTGCAGCTAAGTTCTCCCCATGCCTTATTCTCATGCCAGGCCTGCCCTCTCACCCAGTGGGTCCCCTTTGTCTCCTGCCAGGCTCCCAGCTGCTCCATCCTGACCTCCAGCCCACAGCCCTCTGCCCCTCAGAGGGCAGCTCCACATAATACAGAGCCCACTTCTTTGACTGGGGTAGAGGAACTGAGCTGGAGGGCCTTTTGCTTTTTGTGTCCTCTAACAAAGGCCCCTCCCCCCCAGGGCATGTACATCTTCTTGCACACGGTGAAGGGGACACCCTTCGAGACTCCGGACCAGGGCAAGGCGAGATTGCTAACCCACTGGGAGCAGATGGACTATGGGGTCCAGTTCACAGCGTCTCGGAAGTTCTTAACCATCACCCCCATCGTGCTGTGAGTGCCTTGAGTAGAGAAGGACGCCAGCAGCCAGGCCAGGGCCTGGGGAACCCTGGGCCCTGCCAGGCTTAAACGTGCCCCCAGATCTGGCTTTTGGCATGGGAGTGAGCAGAGGAAGGGAAGTTGGAGTATCCCTGGGTCCTCTGCTGGGCTCGGGTCTTGCACCTCCCTGGCCCTGTCTTTCACCAAAATGGGCCTTCCTGCCTGCAGTGATGTCAGCCCACAGAGCTGGGGTCATTCAAGGGGATTGGGTTGGGAGGGACCTCTTTAACTGCGGCAGTCTTGCCATCCTGCTTCTGTTCTGGGGGTCTTTCCCATAACTCCTTAGCTATCAGGGATCTGCCACTCCCCACCCAGGAGTGAGGGAAGAAGGGCTCCTCCAAACAGAGTCTTATGCCTCTTCCCAACCTTCCCACCCAGGTACTTCCTCACCAGCTTCTATACCAAGTATGACCAGATTCATTTCATCCTCAACACCGTGTCCCTGATGAGTGTGCTCATTCCCAAGCTGCCCCAGCTCCATGGCGTCCGGATTTTTGGAATCAATAAGTACTGAGGGCACAGCCCCGTCCCCTGCCTGGCTGGCGGGGGAGGGTAGAAGCCTGTGCTGTGATGCTGAAGACAGACGGAGCCTCTGGATCCTGCTAGAGATGGGGGTCGAGCCTCTGGGCCCTAGTTTGCCCCCTCACTTCCCCTGGTAGCCTACTTGAAGTAGCTTGTAGTGGGGTTCGGGTGGGCCCCCCCCCAGGTCTCTGACCCTTTCTGATATTTTTGATCTTTTCTTTTTGCCTTTTGGATAGAGACTTCGTGGGGGCAGTCATGGAATGGGCTGGGCTCCCAGCTGAATGCAGATCTGTGAGGTTGGGACAAGAGAAACCCCTGCTCACTTGCTCATCCTCAGACTGCTAAAGCACTTTAACCCCTGCAAGGGGAGCATGGGGGACGGTACAGCTTCTAGATGGTTTTACTTTAATTCTTAAGTCTTTAGGATGACACTCAGTATGTGCTTGTACATGTAAAAGCAAGCGCATGATGGTGCCCCATCCCTCTGGGTGGAGAACTGTCTATTGAGTCTTGTGCTTTTGGCAGCTCCCCTACAACCCACCCTGGGTACTGGATTGGAGCGGGGAGGGTCAGGAGAAGGTGGGTGGGGCTGGGTGTGGCTGGCCTGATCCCAGAGGTGAGGGGGCGGTGGCCGCTTTCATCTTAGCCCTGGCGGAGGTGGGGAGGGTGGTTGGGGCAGGGGTGGGGATGGTGAATTGAGACTTGGAAGAAGGGACCACATAGCAGCAGAGACTGGTGTCAGGGAGGAGGATGGGGATAGAAGCCGGACCTAACCTTGGTCTTTGGGAAGTGGTCAGGTTGGGGGCAGGCTCAGAGAGTTAATTTCCCCATGGCCTGGTGGTGATAATAGGCTGGGAGGCTGTGGGGGGTCTAGAGCTCCTGAGTTAGCATGAGGGGTGGGGAGGGATGGAAGAGGCCTGTGAGTCATGGTCAGCACAGGTCCAGTTTGACACTGCCTTGTGCAGTGGTGTGAGGGGCATGGGGGAACTGGGACATGTGAGTGGTCGGGCCCTTTTGCAGCCTCCACCTCGTAACCTCCTCATGCAGTACCTGTGGGGCTCTGGGGCCACCCCTAAATGGGGTGAGCGGGCCACAGAGTGGTCCCTGCCCAAGCAGAATAGCAGAAAGAGTCCGGAGTGACCCACGGGCGCGGTCTCCTCAGCCTGGGGGCGGGAGATGCGGGGCAGGAGCCTGAGTGTGGACTGGAGAGGAGCTGCCTTTCACCCTTTCCAATCTGGCCAGGGTCTGTGTTACTTTTGAAAAGGAGTGGGTGCCCACGCCCGCACCCAGGCCCCTGAGGGAGGAGGGAAGCTCATTTGTCCCATTTCCTGCCTCCTGGTTCCCCTGCTCCCCACCCCACGTATCATAGGGAACTTTCACCTCAAAATCTTTCTAAGCAATGTGTGAATAGGATTTTTACTCCCTTTGTACAGTATTCTGAGAAATGCAAATAAAGGACAATGTGTTCCTGTTTCCCCTGAGTCTGGCCTCTGCTTCCTGGAGGGCCCCGGGGAAAGGGGCAGGGATTTGGGCCGAGGCGCCCACTGAGGGCAGTGTGGGAGTGAAGGGGACCCTCTGCCTAGGCTCTGGGACTGCCCCTCTTCCTGGTGCCCTCCCCTGACAGTGCCAGCCTGAGGGGCTGGGAGGGAACTGGCAGAGGCAACAGCAGGCCAGAGGGCAGAGTTCTCTGTAACGTGGCATGGCCGTTCTTCTGTCTGAACTTAGACCTCTAGTCTCCTGGGGCTGGCTGAGATGGGCCGTGCTGGCGGAGGGATGGCTTGTGCTTGGCCAGGAAAGGGGTCAGTGATTCGTGAATGAAGATGGAGTCCCAAGGGGTGCCCAGTCCTTTCCTCAGGATGCCCTCCCCTGTTCTCACTTCTCTTCCCTAGGAGGTCTGCATTTCCTCCTGGCCTTTCCATCTTCAGGGGAATCGGTGCTTCCTCTCCTCTCCTGGAAGCATCCGTGGGGTAGGGAAGATGTAAGCCTCCAGGTCTTGTTTAGGCTCATGGGTCCAGGAAAGGAGGGAGTCCTTTAGTGAAGGAGCTCTGGTCTTTGAGGTTCTGGGCCTTTCATTGTGCGCTCTGCAGTGACCTGTGCCGGTCCTGAGACAGTGTGAAGCCCCAGGTAGAAGGCAGGAGCCGCCCCAGGCGGTTGGGGCCCCTGCCTGGCACTGCCAGCGGCGGTGTGCTTGGAGTGGGTGTTGGGAAAAGTGCAGTGTCTTTGCCCAAGTCCACCGAGTGAGGCCTACACAGTGCTGGGGGTAGCCAGTCGGCCACCTGGGCCCATTCGTGAGGGTGGGGGAGCCCTGAGAGCTTCTGTGCACTCGCTGGAGCATAGTCAGGGTGAGGGGCTGGCGCTCAGATCCTGCTCTGCCCCTTCCCAGCATCGAGGCCCTGCTTCTCTGAGCTTCAGTTTCTTCCTCTGTGGTGGATAATCCGGGTCAGGGCTGTTGTGAGGATTAGCACAACACCTGGCACTGGGTCAGTACTTAGTACAGGGCAGTCACATCAGTACTATTCCTGTTGTCACTGCCACGATCCTCTCCTTAGGTGTTGCTTTGAGGGGGCCCAGAAGACAGGCAGCCTCACTCAGGTGGTTATCTCTGAGGACTGAGGGGTGGGGGCCCAAGGCTGCTTCTTGGAGAAGAAGGTAGGCAAGAGGACAGGCGGCGGCATCTCCGGTACACCATCCTCTGGCCCAAATGCACCTCGAGTACATACCAGGTGAATATATAGATATCTCTCCCTCCGGCTCCCTGAGTCCAAAAGGGGGAAAGACTTTCTTCCTTTAGGCTTGACCTGCCTCTGGCCAGATCATGGCTTATCTGAAGGCCTGAGAGGTGGGGCACCTAGCCCTACCCCAGCTTTCCAGTTCTTTCCGTTCCCTTCCTAGTGGTTCCTGAGACACACCGGGCCAGCACCTGTGCAGAGATCTTACAGGGGATTTCTACAGCCGTCATTCCTGGTGAGCAGCTGAGGTGAGTGGAACCCTGGGATGGGCCTGTGGGTCCCGGGCACTGCCTTTCTGGGTACCCAGAAGAACTCCCAGGCTGGGAGTGAGCTGAGAGCTGGCCACCATGATGGGTGAGTAGGTGCCTGGGCCAGCCAGAAGGGCCTTAGAGGAAAGTGGCCAGAGGAAAGGGACTTAAAGGTAGGATGGGGAGGTGAAGCCCAGAAAACTTGGGAGGTGAGTCCTGGCCCCAGGAGGAAGGCAGAGGAGCCTGAAGAAAGGGAAACAGATCTCAAGAGGAAGAGGTTGCAGAGGGGCAGAAGGGGAGAGAAAGAGAAGGATTTGGCAGGGGTGCCTGGGTGGTTCAGTTGATTAAGCATCTGACTCTTGATTTTGGCTCAGGTCATGATCTCAGGGTTGGGAGATTGTTCCTTGAGTCGGGCTCTGCACTCAGCAGGGAGTCTGCTTGAGATTCTCTCTCCCGCTCTCCCTCTCCCTCTGTCTCTCTCAAATAAATAAATACATCTTAAAAAAAGGATTTCTAGACATCATGGTGAAAACATCTTCAGATGAGTGAGGACAAGCAGTGGTAATCTGACAGTATCCTTTCTTACAGTGTGAATGTCTCTAGCGATCTTTCTGAGGGGTGCACATAGTGATGGGAATAAAACCTGTTTGTACATGAAAAAAAAAAAAAAGAGGATTTGGAGGTAAGAGCACCTGAAGGGTCCAGTGTGCTGGGGACAAAGAGCCGCCGCTGGTAGAAACAGGGAAGGACCAGCCGTATGTATCAGGTTGCACTGGTAATGGGCCTATGGAGGGTCCCACAGGGGAGCTAGAGAGGAAAAGGGGCCAATTGTATACCAGGAGTGGGTGAAGGGGAGAGTGGGTGGGGGAGATAACCCAGATGCGGTTTTGGGATTCATTTTACTTTACCCAGAGTAAGGGGGACCCTTCACAGGCTGACCATTAACTGAGGAGATCGGGCCTAAGGATGGGGTGCTATCCAGGGCACCCACCCCCACGCTACTCTTACACTCCATCCTTTCTCTCTTATTTCTTTCTGAGGTCAACTTACCACTGTCTCATTGGGAAATGGTTGGTAGGAGCATCCATCCCACTGCCTTCCAGAATATGGAGGCCCAGAAGGCAGAGCCAAGGGAAGAAGTAATCATTGGGGTTGGCAGTGTGAGGTCTGGCAGCCATGCCCCTCATCCCTTCCTGGGTCCTCTGTTCATCAACACTGGTGGGGCTCTGGCTGGAAGATGGTGGGCCTGCCTTCCTACCCCTCAGGCCCCTCTGAGCAAAGGGGCAACTCGGCTCTGGGAGATGCAGAAAATAGGTCTCGCTCTCCTTTCCATTAGGGTTAATCAGTGCTCCATCTTTCCTCCAGAAGCGTTCTATAAAGGACAGAGGAGAATCTAGCATTTGTGATGGTCACCCTCCTTAGTGTGTAGTGACCACCTCGCCTTCTAGAAACAGGGAAGTTAAATAATTCAAGTCCTGATCATTCTAGAACTTTCGGACCCCAGGATGCCAAAGGTAGATTTAAAAATCTGAACCAGGGGCACCTGGGCGGCTCAGCGAGTTAAGCCTCCGCCTTCGGCTCAGGGTCCTGGGATTGAGCCCCGCATCAGGCTCTTTGCTCGGCAGGGAGCCTGCTTCCCTTCTCTCTCTGCCTGTCTCTCTGCCTACTTGTGATCTCTCTCTCTCTCTCTGTCAAATAAATAAATAAAATAAAAAAAAAAAATCTGACCCAGTATACCCCTCTCCCAAACTGATATTAGCTTCTTTTTCTCCAGTTGGTCCAGGCACAATGTCCAGGGATTTGAGGAAGTCACAAGAGTTGTGGTCCAAGAGGTAGATCCTGGAAGGAATGTGATTGCTGTCGGAAGCATCCTTGACGCTGACAGATTTCACTGCTATTCTCTGGTGAGGGGGAGGAGAAATTTCTGGGGACGTCAGTACCACAGGATAGACCTCACCCAAGAGGACATACTGGAGAGAGGGGAGGGTGAAGGGCTGTTTGATAAACTGGGTTCTGGGCCCCAAGGTTAGCATGAGGGGCTAAGAAATGGCCAGCCAGGAGACTGCCCACTCCTGCTCTGCCACGCTGTCACCACTCCATTGCCAGCAAGCGTGGCAGCCAGTCACCAGAGAACTTGCATGTACTGGAACCTGTATGCACGTGTCCATACCCCTCAGTTTAAGAAACGCACAAAAGATGTTAACTAGCTGGAATTTAAATTAACTGGAAAAAATGCAAAAAAGAAATGCATGGGGAGAAAGGAATGGGGGGGGAGTGGAAATTTATTTTTATTAGAAATTATTCCTAACTTGTCTTCCTTTCCCACGTTTCCGCTTTGTATATTTATATACAAAGTGTATATAAATATATACACAGTGTATATATTTATATGTACATATATATACACAGTGTATATATATACACTGTGTATATATATTAAAATGTATAAATATACATTTTTATGTATATATATATACAAAAAGTATATATATATAATGTATAAATATACATTTTTATGTATATATATATATATATATATACACAAAGTGTATATATATATATACGCAAAGTGTATATTGTATATTCACTCTTAAATTAGCTGAGGTCTTCTGGTGTGTTTATATGTTTATCATTTC